ATTCCATCAATTCCTGGTGCCTTGTTCTTTGCCAATTTCTTCAATGCACCTTGGACTTCCTCCTTCAGTATCATTGGCTCTTGATCATATGCTACCTCTTGAAACGGTTGAACATTTCCTTTTGGTACAGTGACTCTGTACATCTTCTCTTGATGCTTTCTGCATCATTCAATAATTTGCCCAGAGAATCTTTTAATAACAAAAGTCAGGCTTGAATTTTTTCTTCAGTTCCCCCAGCTTGAGAAATGCTGAGCATGTTCTTCCATTTTGGTTTTCTGATTCCAGATCTTTGCACATTTTGTTGTAATAATTGGCTTTATCTTCTCGAGCTGATCTTTGAAATGTTCTGTTCAGTGCTTGTACTTCCTCATTTCTTCCATTTGCTTTTGCATCTTTACGCTGGAGAGCAAGTTTCAGTGTCTCTTCTGACATCCATTTTGACCTCTTCCTTCTTTCTTGTCTTCTTAATGACTTTTTGCTTTTTTCCTGTATGATGTTCTTGATGTCATCCCACAACTCTTCTGGTCTTTGGTCTTTAGTGTGTAATGTATCAAATCTGTTCTTCAGATGATCTCTAAATTCAGGTGCGATATATTCAAGGTCATATTTTGGCTCCCATGGACTTGTTTTCATTTTCTTCATCTTCAGTTTGTATTTGCATATGAGTAATTGGTAGTCTGTTTCACAGTCTGCCCTGGCCTTATTTTCACTGATGCTATGGAGCTTTTCCATCGTATCTTTCCACAGCTGTAGTCAATTTGATTTCTATGTATTCCATCTGGTGAGGTCCTTGTGTATAGTCGTCTCTTATGCTTTCTAAAGAAGGTATTTGAAATGAACAAATCATTGGTTTTGCAGAATTCTATCATGCATTCTCCAGCATCGTTTCTATCACCAAGGCCATATTTTCCAACTACTCATCCTTCCTTTTTGCTCCCAACCTTTGCATTCCAATCACCAGTAATGATCAATACATCTTGATTCTATGTTTGATCAATTTCAGATTGAAGAAGTTGGTAGTATTTTTCTATTTCATTCTCACTGGCTTTAGCGGTTGGTGCGTAAATTTGAATAATAGTGGTATTAACTGGGCTTCCCTGTAGGCGCATGGATATTATCCTATCACAGACAGCATTGTACTTCATGACTGATCTAGATATGTTCTTTTTGACAATGAATGCAACACCATTCCTCTTCAATTTGTCATTCCCGGCATAATAAACCATGTGGTCGTCAGATTCAAAATGGTCAATGCCAGTCCATTTCAGCTCACTGATGCCTACGATATCGATGTTTATGCATTCCATTTCATTTTTGACAACTTCCAATTTTCTCAGATTCATACTTAGTACATTCCATGTTCCAATTTTCAGTGGATGTTTACAGCTGTTTCTCTTTATTTTGAGTTGTTGCCCATCAGCAAATGAAGGTCACGTGGGCTTTTCTCCACAGGCTTTACTCCATTCGCGTCATCACAGTCCACTCTACTTTGAGGAGGCAGCTCTTTCTTTCCCAGTCGTATTTTAAGTGCCTTCCAACCTGAGGGGCTCATTTTCCAGCACTATATCTGACAGTATTTCTCTGTTATTCATAAGTTTTTCCGTGACTAAATATTCGGAATTAGTTCTTCACTCCTTCTTCCTAGTCTGTCTTCGTCTGGAAGCTCATCTGAAACCTGTCCACCTTGAGTGACCTTGCTGGTATTTAAAATACCCGTGGCATAGCTTCCAGAATCACAGCAACTCACAAACCACCACAGTATGACAAACTGACAGATGAGTGGTGGAAAAGCAGCCATAGGCAACCTATAAATGAGTGTGACTGTATCAATAAAGCTTTATTTACAAAAACAGGTGGCCCACCCACTGGTCTTAGCCACTTCCTGTCCTATATATACCCTCATCTCTGGTGCCAAGGAAGACTTGGTCACTATCAGATTGCTCTGAGGGAGGTTAATGGATTCGGCACATGGAATCTGGAGCCACACACCCTTGGTTTGAACCCCCAGCCCTATGTCTTACTCACTGTGTGTCCTTGAACAAGTTACTTCATTTCTCTCTGCCTCCGCCTTGCTTGTAAGAAAAGTATGATCGTGGTTTTTGTCCTCTTGATGTGATTTTGAGGATTAAACATCATTAATGAGCTGGTGAGCACACTGTGAACACAATAGTAGTAGTATTATAAAAATGTTGTCACTGGATGATAGTGTATCCCACAATGGACCACCCTTCCTATTTGTCTTACTTTCCTAGGAGTGTCATAACAAAATGCCACAAAGCAGGTGACTTTCAAGAACAGAAAATTATTTTGTCACAGTTATGAAGGCTGAGAATTCATGCTCGTTCCTTCTGTAGGCTCTTCTCCTAGTTCCTGGTATCTGCCAGCAATCTGTGGTGCTCCTTTGCTGCTTTTAGATGCTTATAGGCACCTGGCAATCTGGCAATCTACTTCTAAAAAATCAGCCATTGAAAACTCGATGGAGTGCGGTTCTCCTCTGACACACAGGGGGTCACGGTGAGTCAGAATCGGCTTTGTGGTAAAGGTTTGGTTTTCTGGTTTCCCGCTCCAGTATGGCCTCATTAACATAAAAGAAATTTATAATTATAATCAGGGTCACATTCCTGGCACAGTGATCAGCACTTCCACATATATTTTGAGGGGGCACAGCTCAGTTCATTGTGGGGGAGGTTGCAAACATTTCCGGTGGATGTCACCATATCATTCATGTAGCGTGGTGGCACACGGATGCCTATTTGTGCAGACTTGCGCCTGGAACCATGTTTCCTGCGTTGGGATGAGGACCAGTGTGGGGCCCCCCTGCCCGGCAAGTACCGAATGGACGTCTGCTGCTGCTCCGTCGGGGCCGCATGGGGTGCCAAGTGCGAGGTGTGCCCAGGACGCAGCTCCCCAGAGTTCACCAGCCTGTGCCCACGAGGGTTGGGCTTCGCTAGCGGAGATTTCCTTTCCGGCCAACCCTTCTACAAAGGTGCACTGGGCCTCAGGGGGTGGAGTGGGACAGCGGGGAGGTGGGGCCAGTAGAGAGATCTGTGGGAGAAACCATTTGGAAGGTGGAGGATTGGTCATTGGTGGAGAGGTCTGCAGGGGTACAGGTGGGAAGTGGGGTGGGGGAGGCGGAGTGTTTGGGAGGCGGCTGCCACGTGATGCAGGTTCTGGACGTGGGGCAGCTAAGGATGGGGCGGGGGCTTGGGGAGTCCTTGGTGGCACAGCAGGCTGAGGACGCTAGGCATTCCACCCCTAGACGTGAATGAGTGCAAAGCCTTCCCCAGCCTCTGCGCGCATGGCTTCTGCCACAACACCATGGGCAGCTTCCATTGCTCCTGCGCGGCAGGCTTCGCCCTGGACGCCCATGAACGGAACTGCACAGGTACATGCCTCAGGGTGCGGCCCTCCGGACTCTGGTCACATCTGTCTGCCTGCTTTGTGGCGCAGTGCAGGTCACTGCCCTCTCTGGACCTCTGTGACACCGGCTGGAACAGGGAGTTTCACAAAGGCGTCCACAGGGACCTCAGCTCCAGGGAGTTGTGAAGACATTCAGTCCCTTGGCCACGGATTTGGTTGAGGCTCCAAAGTTTGGGACTCCCATGAAGCCCCTCTTCTATAGATACGAAGACCCCAGCCCGCGCCCTATTGTGTGCACAGAACCTCATATTCCTTGGCCTGCATACCTCTTGTGTCCTCAAATACCTCTCTACCCACTCCCTCTGTGTCCACAAATACAGACCATCCGTCCGTCCATTCCCCCTCATATGCAGACGGATCCCCCTGCTCTGTGTCTCCTTGTGTGCTCAGTCATACCTCTCCCCGCTAGTGCTCCCTTTGTGCACCGACACCTCTGACTTGTCGTGCGCAGACAGACATCCCCAAGTGCAAAGTCAGACCCCTCTTCCGCTCCTTTCCCAGCCTATACCCCACACCCTCTGAACTCCACTCCCGCAGACATTGACGAATGCCGCATCTCTCCGGACCTCTGCGGTCAGGGCGCCTGTGTCAACACCCCCGGCAGCTTTGAGTGCAAGTGTGCCCCCGGCTTCAAGAGCAGCTTAATGCTGATGAAGCTCTGCATGGGTAAGGTCTGCTGGGGCCAAGGGGGTGTCGGAGCAGGGAAGGGAAAGAGAGAAGGGGGATGTAGTCCAGCTGTCTCGTCCCCCAGGTCTGAAACTACAAGGAGGACTGGGGGACTGAGGTGTGGGCGTGGCCAGCGCATTGGGGGTGGGTGGAGTCTCCCTGGAAGATTGTGGTGGGACAAGTGGAGAGCCTAGGAAAGTTCTAGAAGCCTGGGAGCCGCTTTCAAAGGGCCTCCAGTTGGCTCCATATGCTAAACACTGAACTGTGAACTACAAGGGCCGCTGTTCAAGCTACTGCAAAGATTTAAAGCCTCGGAAACTCTATACAGGTTGTTATGAGTTGGAACCGGTACTTAACAATAACAGAGTCATTCACAAGCCACCTTTTGCTTGCTTAAATGAAATTTTATTTTGTTCATCACATCAACATACGCACGCACATTCATGTGTCATTGTTTAGTGCCATCAAGTCGGTTCCAACCCATTGCGACCCTGTATAGGGTTTCTGAGTTGCTGACCATTCGGTTCAAACTGACCTTGTAGTCCAGCACATTATCCTGCGACGCCACACCACGGCTCCAGCATACATATATATATCTATATATATATCTATTTATATCTAGATAGATATCTAGATATAGATAGATAGATAGATAGATAGATAGATAGATAGATAGATAGATAGATAGACAAATAATATTGTTTAGGAGTACTTCACATACTTATAAGTTAATTTTTTTAATTCATTAATTTGGGCTGGGGTATATGTGTGTGAAAACATATGTAGCAAAACATTCTCCACCTCAGCAATTTCAATACATACAACCCAGTGACTTAGGTTACATTCTTTGTGTCACCTTTCTGGACAATGTTCTGTAAATCATTTCAGCGCCGTGTACACAAGCTCACTGACACACACACCCCGAAACTTTGCATCTAGCCTTTGGAGTTGCTGTTAATTTGATCATTTACAGTAGTTCTTTAATATATATTATATAATTATATAATTATATAATATATGTTTAATATACACATTCTTTTTCAAACTAGGCTAAATAATACTTTCTTATTCATTCAACAAGCATCTTATGTTTGTTGTGTCGACACCTCAGGTTCCTCTGGGAGCTCAAGAGCCAGGGTTGCATCTTCTTGGTGTTCACAGCTAGTGGGTGGAGGACAGCTGATAGTAGAATATGAAGGGGCTTCAGAAAATTTGTGGAAAAGAGGAATTCAAAGAGCATGGAATTTCTCCATGAATTTTTTGAAACTCCTTTGCACATTTCCAAAGAAATGGGGAGTTGCCTCTGTCCGAAGCACTTGGGGCCACATGGTAGACAGGAATGTGGACCCTGGGCATGGGTCCTGTTCTCTGGGGCTTGAGGAGGTGACTTACTGGAGTGGTATAAACGAATTGAGGAGGGACAGAAAGAGGGAGCCTGGAGAGGGAATAGTGTGTGCAGAGGCCCTGAGTGGGAGAGGCTGTCAGAGGGAACAGGCTGTGCAAAGGTACTGGGGTAGGTCTAATGGACACAAGAAGACTTGAGGAGGTATCTGCTTCCTACTCTGATGTGTGGCAGAATGGGGTCTTGCCTCTTATGTGTCAAATAGTAACTCCTCAGTAACAACAGGGCATCAGCCTCCCAGGTCTCTTGAGAATTTCTGCCTCCCTCCCTATCCAACCTCCCCCCAGTTCATACTCTGGGTCACCCAGGCTCTGATGAGCCTCCAGACTCTCCTGGCTTCTTATCAGGGGGAAGCTTCCAGAAACCACATCACCCTACTTCACCCCTGCTCTCTGTCCACACACCTAGATGTGGACGAGTGTATGCAGGACCCGCTGCTTTGCCGGGGTGGCAGCTGCACCAACACCCATGGGAGCTACACATGCCACTGTCCCCCAGGACACGAGCTGACAGCTCAGGACACAGCCTGTGAGGGTGAGTGTGTGACCGGTGTGCACACATGCGAGGGTGCACGTGGTGGGGCTGAGAGCAGGGGATGCAGTTTCATAGCTGGGTGTGAGTACACACCTGGATCGAGAGTGCAGGTGGCTGTCAGTGTGTATCTGCATATGCAAGTATGTACCTGTGTGTGTGTGTGTGTGTGACATGTGGCTGCGTGGAAGCAAGCAGGTAGACGGGTGTGTTTGTGTGAATGTGTCGCATGTGCACAAGTGTATTTATGCATTTCATGGCTATAAGGTGTATCTGTGCATCTGAGAGAGTTCAAGAGGCATGAATGTGTACCTGGGTGTGAATGTGTGTGTATGCAGGGTGAGTGTGTTCTTGGGGAGGGGGTGTCGATGTGTTTGTACAAGTCTCTGTATGTATAAAGTGTGTGTGTGTGTTTGGGGAGTGTTTGCGAGTCTGTGCGAGTGTGGATATGAGTGTGCACTTGGGAATGAGTTGTGTCTGCACATCAAGTGTGAATTTTATGTGAGTTTTATGGGAACCTATGTAAGTGTGCATGCACTCAATAACCTCATATGCATGCGAAAGCTGAACCGTGAATAAGGAAGACCATAGAAGAATTGATGCATTTGAGTTATGGTGCTGGAGGAGAATATTGAAAGTGCCATGGGCTGCCAAAAGAACCATTTTGGAAGAAGTGCAGCCAGAGTGCTCCTTGGAGGCCAAGATGGCCAAACTTTGTCCCTCATACTTTGGACATATTGTCAGGAGGGACCAGTTGCTGGAGAAAGGATATCATGTGTGGTAAGGTGGAGGGTCAAAGAAAAAGAGGAAGATCCCCAATGAGAAGGATTCACCAAGTGGTGGCATCAATGGGCTTAAGTGTGAGGTTGGCCCAGGATCAGGCAGTGTTTCATTCTGCTGTGCATAAGGTCCCTATGAGTTGATATGACTCGATGGCACCTAATAACAACAACAACAAATGTAAGTGTGCAGTGTGTGTACACAGCAGGTGTGTTTACATGGGAGAGAGTGGAGGGTGTGTTTGCGCGTGGGAGTGTATATGGGTGTGAATGTGTGTGAAGGCTCTGAGTGTGTGTGTGTGTGTGTGTACACAGTGCGAGTGTTCACGTGGGAACGGGTGGGGTGTGGTTATGAGTGTGTTCCCTGGTGTGGGTGTGTGTACACAGGGCGAGTGTTCACGTGGGAGTGGGTGGGGTGTGGTTGAGTGTGTTCCCGGGTGTGGGTGTGTGTACACAGGGCGAGTGTTCACGTGGGAGTGGGTGGGGTGTGGTTGAGTGTGTTCCCGGGTGTGGGTGTGTGTACACAGGGCGAGTGTTCACGTGAGAGCAGGTAGGGAACAGACACCAGACTTTCTTGTGGATGGTCCGATTGGCTCTCAGTCACATAGATGTCAGCCCCAGCTGTGTGTCCCCACAGATGTGGACGAGTGCACCCTACGTGATGGCCTATGTCCTCATGGGCAGTGTGTCAACCTCATCGGAGCCTTCCAGTGTGCCTGCCACACTGGCTTCCAGAGCACGCCAGACCACCAGGGCTGCGTGGGTGAGACTGTGCCCCCAGCCTGGCTTTAACTACAGTGGGCAGTTAGCTCTGCATCCCATCCCTGCACCCAAATCAGCCCTAATCCTACATCTCCATGTACCCCACAGATATCAACGAGTGTCGTGTGGGCAACGGCGGCTGTGAAGGGAGCTGTGCCAACACGGAGGGCAGCTACCAGTGTGGCTGCGGCCAGGGTTACTCACTGATGTCTGATGGGAGGGCCTGTGCAGGTGGGTGGGCCTGGGGGACCGGTGGAGGCCTCTTGTGGGCACCCCCGCTCAGCTGGTGGGAGGGACCTGGGGCTCTCTCTCCATCTGTGCCCACCTACACCTGGTTTTTGTCCTGGTTCCCCAGATGTGGATGAGTGTGAAGAGGACCCAGACATCTGTGATGGGGGTCAGTGCTCCAACGTGCCCGGCGGTCACCGTTGCTTGTGTTATGAAGGCTTTGTGGCCATGCCAGACCTGAGGACGTGTGCTGGTGAGGACTGGGTGGGGGCTGGGCAGGCAGGCAATGTCTTGGGATTTTGGGCTAGTGGTCAGCTCCAGAAGCCCATACCCATGAGCCATTAGGTCTGGGTCATAGAAGTGGAGTCGCTCACAGCTATTCCCTTGTGATTTTTGTTGTTGACTGAGCACCTTCTGAGCTTCCTAGGGCTTCCCTAAAGAATGTGCACAGTCAGGGGCTCTCCAGACCAGACATTGGCTGTCTCAGCGTCCTGGAGGCTGGGAGTCCAAATGGGGGTGTCGTCCACGTTAGTTTTTTTTGGAGGGTTCTGCTGCTCCCCTCTGCTGGTGGCTGCCGGCAAGCCACGGCGTATCTTGGCTTCACACAGCACCACCGGAAGGGATTAGGACTCACAGATAACTTCTCCAAAGAAAGATCCGATTTCCACAAACAAGGTCCCATCCGCAGGTCCAGGTGTTAGATTTCTCTGTGGAAAGCACCATTCAGTCTGTCATAAGCACACGCATTCTTACCTGACACGTAGGAGAGGCTTGTCCCGGTCCAAGGCTGTAGGGTCACAGCTGTCAAAGGAATTCTCTGTGTGTCCCTTCCTACTGCCTGGGGGTCAGGGGAAGGAGTGGGGTGTCTGCCAGGCTGAGGCACCCGCTGACTTTAGGATTGGAGTAGGTGAAAAGGTTTTGCAATCGAGGAGGTTGAGGTGGGAACTGTGTTCTCTGAGATATGCTGAAACACCCTGGACTGTTGATTTCGTGTGGTCATTGTCCTCACCAGGGAACAGATCGTCATGGGACATGGGGAACAGAGGTGTCCTAAGCACCCCAACAAGGCAGAGCCAGATTTGAGCATTCTACAAAGAATCATCCAGCCCATTGTCCCACAGGGCGTCCCAACTCACAGTGGTTCCTGGAACCCATTACTAGGGCCCTGGGACTATATCCATACTGGAAACGGCCTTTTATGTACTCCCCACCTTTCTTGCTGTTTCATTGGGCACATAGGTTAAAAACAAAACAAAACAAAAAAAAACCCGGTTAGCGGTGTGGTGCTGTAGGATAAGGACTGAACCAAAAAGTCCTTTTTCTTTTCTTTTCATAAGTTTTTATTGTGAATTATGTAATCGTTTACATGGGAGAACATTAGCTTTACATTCATCCAGTCTTATTTCTTTTCATTGCAAAGATTACAATTTCCTGCATGCATCATCAAACAGCCAAAGGGTACACCCCCACCCACCTGCCTCCTGGCCTTCAACATACAGACCCTCTCCCTCCCAGAGTCCAGAGTCTCCAGCCACTCCATCTCTCCAAAAGGTCCTTTTGAACTGTAAGGTCGGTGGTTCAAACTCACCAGCTGCACCTGAGAAACCCTAAACAGGGTAGCTATGAGTTGGAACCAACTTGACGGTGCTTAACAAGCTTTATTGAACCCAGTGTTCTCTAAGTGTATTGGACTGCAAGTTCCTTTCTGGAGTACATGGTTTGTGGCACGCTGACAAGATGCTCATGGCTGCCCACAGGACCTCAAAAAGCAAATTCTGTGGGGCCAGGACACGAGACAGGGCTGATGCCTCTCTCCTGTCCCTTCACCCCAGCACTGAGCCCTCTCCCCTAACAGATGTGAACGAGTGTGAGCTGAACCCTCACATCTGCCTGCACGGAGACTGTGAAAACAGAAAAGGTTCCTTCATCTGCCACTGCCAGCCAGGCTATGTCGTCAGAAAGGGCACCACAGGCTGTTCCGGTGAGCTGGCCAGTTGAGAGACCCTGAGGAGCCACCTCTGGGGTTGTAGGGTCAGCTGTCTATCCCTGGAGTTGGAGCACAGCCAGAAACTCTTTTTGTATATCTCCACTAATGGTGTCTTGAGTTGGAACGGGGGCTGGATAAGTACCCCTGAAGCTCCCCTTCTCCCTGGGTGCTGCAAAGTTAAGTGGGTGTTTGCATCTTGGAAGAAAGGCTTGGCAATTTGCTTCCCAAAACCCTTTGTAACAGTTATATTCTGACACATTGTGGAGTTGCCAAAAGTTGGGATCAATTCCATGATAACTAGTTTGGTTTTTCTTGGGGGGGGGGGGCTCCCATTGCTAACAATTCAGCAGGTGGTGCTCTGGAGCCTGAAGCACCCACCACAGCCTCCTGGCAACCCCATGTGTGTCCAGAGTAGAACTGTGCTCCAAAGGCTTTTCAGTGACGCTTTTTCAGAAGTAGATTACCAAGCCTTTCTTCCGACTCATGTCTCAGTGAACTCAAAGCCCCAAGTTTAGCAGCAACCTTGCACATTAATCAGTTTGCACCACGCAGGGCCTTACAGGCTTCACAGACCTCTGATTTTAACTGATAGAAAACAAAGATTGTAAAATGTTGCAGTTATTTTTATTTGCACTAGAAACAAATGTTACATCACAGAATATCAGATCATTGACTTTGGGGATACTATAGCTATTGGACAAGGAGCTCTGGTAGCATAGTGGTTATGAGTTGGGCTGTGAACCTCAAGGTCAGCAGTTCAAAGCTACCAGCAGTTCCGCAGGAGAAAGATGAGGCTTTCTGCTGCTGTAAAGATTTAGCCTCAGAAACCCTATACAGGCTTGCTATGAGTTAGAACCAACTCCATGGCACACCACCACCATAGCTATTGATATGTTGTTGTTGTTAAGTGCCGTCGAGTTGGTTCCGACCCATAGCGACCCTGTACAGGGTTTCCGAGGGTGTAAATCCTTACGGGAGTAGAAAGCCTATAAGTCACCTTAAAAAGCACTTAGTAAATCAACTAAACCGTGA